GGAGCCTCGCTTCTGGGGGGCGCCCCCCTGGACCACCACCCAACGGAAACGATATAAACGAGAACCCCCTCCCGGAGGTCGGTGGATCACGACGCCAGACGTCTGGGCATCCCCTTCTCCTTCTCCTCCTCCTCCTTGGACGAGCTGTGATGATTTTTGAAGTTTGGGTGTGTGGGAGCCTCCAGAAGCTTCCGGGGGGCTTCTGTGGACCTCCAAGGACTCTGGAGACCTCCTCGACCATCGGGGAGATCCTCCTCCAGAGCCTCGGGAGCCTGCCCCATGGTCTCTAGTCCCGCAGCGAAGGCAATATTAGCAAATAGGGACAACAAGGCATAGGGGGAAGTGGATGGGGAAGGGTCTCCCTCCTCCCTGCTCCCGCGTCTTCGTGTTCCAAACAGTTCCTCCTCGTCGCGCAATCAGAGGTGTCGGTAGGGAGATCGTTTGAATGCTGATATTCCCATAGCTCCGCGCACACTTCTTGGCGAAGCTTGCAACACTTACGCAGTTGATGGGGAGGTCGTTTTCAAACAGATGAGATCGCCTTAGCGCACATTCGTCAATACAGCTTGTAGCATGGAAGAAAAGGAAGGTCGTTGCCAGAATGTTGACATCGCCTGGGCACCGCGCACCTGGGTAGTCGGTTTCACATTGCTTTCGCTTGAGACCCTCTCAGGCCTTGCGGCACGAAACTGAAACATGCGCAGCTGCTACACGCATGGAGTGAATCTGACTTTCTGAATTGGCTCCTCATCTAAATCCACCTCGAAATCTACGACCCAAAACCTCACCATGCCAAACAGCACAAGCAACACATTACGGGTCATTTACAGCATTACTCTCGCGCGTGACGCTACACTCAATTCCATCATAATTTCCACCAGCTGTACGGATGGAGGGCGCTTCTTTCAAAGATAGGCTGGCCAATTGGTTGGATCACCCCGCAGTGAAGCAAATGAATTGCATGGACTTGTGAAGAGACAGCTCGGGCTGGGGGGAGATATTATAGAATCGTTCTTAATGTACCCAGGCTTCTCTCCGACGAAGAATTTCAATGGTCCTCAACAAATGTTGTTCTGGAGGTCTTCTGGGGGAAGGCAGAGACTCGCGGGTTACTCTCAGGAAACTGTCGGGAGGATTCCAGGAGGCTTCTGACGTCTTCCTAGGGGATCCAGAGTTGACGTCGATTATGACCAAGGCAATCGCAAAACTAAATTAAAGCTGGAGTAGTCTTCCATTGGGAAAGATAGCGACCATGGCTGGAAACACTGGCGGGGGCCGGAACGAACCCCAAGCAGATATGAAGAGGTGACCAAAGCTAAAAAACAACAGAGAAACTGGTGCGGACTGGCTAATCCTGTTCCTGTAACAAAAAGAACGCGGAGATACCAAAAGCCAGACGAGGCAACAAACTATCAATTCCATGGCAGAACGCTGCGTAGGTGGCACATGGTGGGAACTAGATTACAGATAACGAGCGCTGTTCTGCAAGTACGAGGTGGTGGGACCTATGTGGTAGTGGGCAGTGGCACTACGGCCGCAGGCAGCAGGCACCATGCAGCACATGGGCTGGACGCTGTAGCGCGTGGCACACAGCAGATCGCAGGCGGGCAGGCAACTGTGCAGTACAGTCCAAAACCCTAATAAGGACGCGCGGTAAGGACGCAAGACCCTTGGAAGCCGAAGTTGGCATTTTGGGGGCGGCGGACGACGAAAATCCCGTAAGCGGGCAAGCGAAAGAGGCCAAGGACGAGCCGCAAGAGCAAGGAAGAGTAAGGACGCAGGGGTACCCTGAGCAAAGCCGCGCGTCCTTTTTTAGGGTATTTGGACTGCACGCAGCGTACAAGGACGCCACAACAGCAGGCGAGAGGAAGGAGACGGGGCACGCAGTGGAGGACCGCAGGAACGCAGGAGGGCCGCAGAGGCGCCCACGGGGCGCGGGGTGGTGGTGCGGCGCGAGCAGCTCGAGGACCGGGCGCGCACGCGCTCAAAGGGCGCGGTGGAGGAGCGAGACCTTCGGAGAAGCAGAGACGAGACCCCTCACTCTAAGCTGGGCGATTTTTTAATACATGGGATTTCAAAAATATAGGATTTTGAATACATGATCAATGTATGAATAAATGTATCCATGAACTCATCGTTGTTTTTAATACTAAATCCCTGCATTTTTTACTGCATGATCCGCACGCGGAGCATGTATTAAAAACGGCACTGTAAGCTGGGCGACCACCGTGTCCCGAGGAACGCGCGCACGCACGCAGGCGGTCCGCACATGGGGCGCGCTGGCCGAAGCACGCGCAGAAGGGCAGAGGAGCCGCTCAACAGTCTCTCCAGCATGCACCGGGGGACCAGAGCACTGTCAGGATGGCGCGTCCAAGGCAGCCGCGCGGTTTGCGCACAAACGAGCGCTCGTGCACCCGTGGCAGCGCGCGCGTTCCCGGGATCATCCCTATCCCTGCCCCCCACGACCACTGCGTGCGCGCCTGTCCGATCCAACAGTGGTCATGCTTCATGCGCAACCTGAGATCGACTCTAAGCTCACGATACTGGGCCCATGCTAGCAGACAGCACGACTGAAGACCGCGGCCCTCACCTAACGCCAGGAAAACTCACATCTCGCCGCATGAGGATGTATCCTGCCGTGCGGGGCGCGACCCTCTCTGCATTCAGCTAAATTTCCCTTCAACTACCTCCACATCGACCACAAACCCTGTGGGTAGGGGCGGCTCTCTATATAGTATCCAATCCGATGTGATTGTCTGCATGCGCGCTTCATCCCAGATGCCCGAGTGAATTCTGAAGCCACCGTTACCTATATGACACCACATCCATCCACGCACACTCACACACACACACACACACACTACCGAACCCCTGTCCCAATGCGGTCCAGCTCCGCCTGCACCTTTGAAACAGGGCAGCAGCTGCACAGAGAAGAAGGCTTCGCACAGGCGACTCCTACACCACCTCCCACTCCTCCTCTTCACGCTGATCCTCACCCTACTCCTCCTCCTTCTTCTTCTCCTCCTCCTCATCATGCAGATCATCCTCCACCACCTCCTCCTCCTCCTCATGCTGATCCTCACTCTCGGTCCTCCTCCTCCGCCTCGTCCTCCTCGTCCTCCTCCTCCTCCTCCTCCTCCTCCTCCTCCTCCTCCTCCTCATGCGGATCCTCCTCCACCACCTCTTCCTCCTCATGCTGATCCTCACAATCCTCCTCCTCCTCCTCCTCCTCCTCCTCCTCAACCTCCTCCTCCTCCTCCTCCTCCTGCGGATCCACCTCCACCACCTCTCCTCCTCCTCCTCCTCCTCCTCCTCCTCCTCCTCCTCCTCCTCATGCGCATCCTCTCCCTCCCATTCAGCGCAGCCTAATGATTTCCCCACTGGGCCGAGCCGCAGGCTTGGCCCAGATCGTCCTAGGCTTCCCAGGGAGCCACGGCGAGGCCCCGCTGGGCACGGCCGCACACGAGGCCCAGATCGTACGAGGCCACCCGACACTCGTACCGGGCCTTACCAGAAGCCCCGACTGGGCCGCAGTTCAAGGGTCTTTCAATGAAAATGTGTGTGCGTGCATGCATCGATTTGTGTAGACGTACAAACATGCATACATACATACATACATACGTACATACGTACATGCAAACAGACAGACAGACATACATGCAGCCATACATACATAACTACACACAGGCATACAGATATACAGGCATACAGACGAACATACGTACAGACATGCCTACACACATACACACAATCAAGCAAACACACAAACAAACAACCACACATACATACACACAGACATACATACGTACAAACACACGTACAAACATACATACATACATATATGCATACAAGCATACATTCATACATACACACATACATACATACGCACATGCATACCTACATGCATACATGAATGCATGCATGCATACATACGTACACACGTACATACGTACGTACATACATACGTACACACGTACATATGTGCATGTGTACATACATACATATATGCATACATACGTACGTACATACAACCATATATGCATACATACATACATACATACATACATACATACATACATACATACAGGGATGCATGCACACATACGAACAAACCAATACATACACACATACAGACATGCATGCATACATACACGTAGACATGCATACGTACGTACGTACACACAGGCATGCCTACATGCATACACACATGCATGCATGCATACACATAGACTCGCCTACCTACATACATACCCACACACAGGCATATACACATACACACATACGTACGTACATACGCGCATGCATGCATACATACATACATACATACATGCATGCATGCATGCATGCATGCATGCATACCTACATGCACACATACATCTCGAACATACACAAACGCATATGCGCATACACATGCGCATGCATGGACACCTACACACGCATGCATATACACACGCGCATGCATACAAACATGCACACATACATGTATGTACACATACATGTGTATATACACAGTGAATCTGCATGTACACATGCACATACACATACCGAATCGTTCATGCACCCATACAACCATACATACACATGTACATGCACACATGCATACATACGACCATGCATATATATATATATATATATGTGTGTATACATATATAAACATGCACGCATACATATATGTAACCACACAGGCATACACATACATATACATACATACACACAGACACATATATAAATATACATACATATATACATGCATACATACATCCATGCATGCATGCATACATACATGTAAACATGCATGCATGCACTGCTCCTCTTCCTTCGCCTCTCATTACTCCCCCTCCTCTCCGCGACGACCTCCGCGCCGCCGCCCAGGCCGACGATGGCCGCTGGGTGTCCCAGAAGGCAGACGCCCGCCCCTCGGCGGCGCCTCTGAGCCCGCCGGCCAGCCTCCGACGCGCGCCCCCCCGCCCACCCCCGAGCGGGGCCTGCCCGGGCCACGCCTACGTCATCCTCTTCGACGGCGGTGCCTTCAGGATCGCCTTCGGGCTGCCGCGGCGCTTCGCGCGCAGCAGTGGCGGCACACACTCCATGCAACATGATATCTCATCGAGCGGGATGGCTTCGGAGCCTGCCATCCACAGCATTCAGATGTGAGAAAAACACATACCCGATTCAACCTGATCTAGTCGAACGGGATGGTTTCGGAGCCTGCAGCGCCGTGCGAGCCGCGAGGATCAGGCTTTCCGGGCGCTCCGCGTGGGGCCCCTCGCGCCCTCAGATCTCCGGCGATACAGTTGTTGTTCCACTCGGGGTTTGACCTTCACTTCCGGCCGCTGGGGCCCAGCACTCAGGGGAAGGCGGGGACGCATATCAACTGCGCCACTGGGGCCTTCGGTGGAGCTCCCTATGGGGCCACGAGCCGTGTGAGGGGTGTGCTGACATGGGTGGCGGGGACGCATGTAAACTGTGCCACTGGGGCCTTCGGTGGAGCTCCCTATGGAGCAACGAGCCGTGTGAAGGGTGTGCCGACATGCGTGGCAGAGACGCATGTATACTGTGCCACTGGGGCCCTTGGTGGAGCTCCCTATGCGGCCACGGACCGCGTGAGGGATGTACCGAAACGGGCAGCGGGGACAAATGTCAACTGTACCACTGGTGCCTTCGGTGGAGCTCCCCGTTGGGCCACGAGCCGCGTGAGGGGTATGCCCTAATGGGTGGCGGGGACGCATGTAAACCGTACCACTGGGGCCTTCGGTGGAGCTCCTTATCGGGCCACGAACCGTGTGAGGGGTCTGCCACAATGTGCGGCGGGGACGCATGTATACTGTGTTGGTGGAGCTCCCGATGGGACCACAAGCCTTTGAGGGGTGTGCCAAAATGGGCAGCGGGGAAGCATGCTAACTGTGCCACTGGGGCCTTCGGTGGAACTCCCAATTGGGCCACGAACCGTGAGGGGTGTGCCGACATGGGTGGCGGGGACTCATGTAAACTGTGCCATTGGGGCCTTCGGTGGAGCTCCCTATGGGGCCACGAACCGTGTGAGGGATGTGCCGAAATGAATGGCATGGACGCATGAGATGATGATGGTGATGATGATGATTGTGGTGATGATGGTGATGATGATGATGATGATGATGATGATGAGGATGGAGGATGGAGGGAGCAGCGGGAGGAGGCGGAGGAGGAGGAGAGGAAGGAAGGAAGGAAGGAAGGAAGGAAGGAAGGAAGGAAGGAAGGAAGGAACGCGGGGCGCTGTCTCTTCAAATCGAGGACCCAGCACCAAAGATGGTTGGTAAAACAATCTGGATCATGCGCGGCCGCCCCGCGATCGCTGTCAACTGGTGGCGTATGGCCTGCTGTGCACAGGCCCACCAAACACAGTGATGGGCATTGGCTTTCAGCATGGATGGTCAGGGTCGACATGTTTCCCGATGTGTGCTGTCACTTGCGCAGGCGCACCTGACACACTCTCCACGTGCCCCGAACGTGGCGCACCTGGCGCGGCTGGAGTATGCTGCACACCTGGCGCACGAGGAGGCACGCTGCGTATTTGGCGCACCAGGCGTGCCTGGCACGCTCGGTCCCCAGGGGTGCCTGGCGCGCATGGCGCGCCTGGCACGCGTGGCGCACCTCGCCCCAGCGTCGCGCACATGGGCTCGATCTTGGTTCCCAGTAGCTGCCCATCCAAAGACGACCGCTGAACATGCAGAGGCTCGGGTGTTACTTATTTGGGAGGGCGGGTGGGAGTGAGCAAGACGGCTTGCGGGCGGGTGGGTACCCTTCCCCCCTCCCCCCCCCCTGGGTCTGGACAGGGGGCGGGGCACGATGTGTCAGAGGGTCTTGCTGTCGCAGGATGGCTCCAAGAGGGCTCCCGATGCTCCAAGACGGCCCCCAAGATGGCTCAAGTTACCAGGAAGATAGCTCAAGATGGCTTCCAACATGCCTTCAAGAGGCCCCGCGGGGGCCATAAGACGGTCCCACGTGCTCTCCCCCCCCCCACCCGAGGAACCCCCCTCAGAGGCCCCAAATCTTTCAAAAACATCCATGAATGCTGCCTTCTCGCCTTTTCGCTCTTCCGATGCGCTTCCCAGGCCTCGAGGTGACCCCAAGCTGGCCCAGGAAAGCCCCACGAAGGGCTCAAGAAGCCCCCCAGACGGCACCAAGATCGCCCAAGAGCGACCCAAGAGCGCCCCAACAGGGCCCCCGAAGGCAAATTTGAGGGCCCCAGGGAGAAGAGGCAAATCGAGGACCCCCCTTCCTTTTATCGATAGCCTCCAAGATGGCCTCAAGAGACCCTCTAGGGCCCCCAAGAGGTCCCGACGGCCCCAACACGGCCCCAAGAGCGTCCAAGAGCGCCCCAAGAGCATCCCAGGAGGGCCTCAAGAGACGGTTTGCCTCCTCCTCCTCCTCCTCCTCCTCCTCCTCCTCCTCCTCGCCACCCCGCGGGCCCCAGGGATGACCCGAAGAGGCCCTCCCAAACCACCCACTTGCTCCCACAGATCTCTCTGTTCATCCTGGTTGCCCGCTTTGTTTCACCAGACGTGTGGTTTCGTCCCTCCCTCCATCTGTCAGCTCTCATGGGCATGGTTTCTGAACGGGCTGGCGGGGATATGCAATAATATTATGACTTACGCCCTTGGCGGCAGAGGACCCTAAACAGCCTTTGCAAGGTACTGAAGCGAGCATTGTATACTATACGATGAACCCTGATGCATTATGAAATGGACCCAGCCGGGGCACTTGCGTTATGTGTTAACATATGTTGTATGGATCCCATGTCCATCCGACCTCTGGACTACGACGGTTCGCTTGGGACGCCCGACCCGGCCCAGCCACTTTCAGATGTGTTGGGATATACTTTATGTGCGGGCCCCAAAGATATACACCACCGCCACCACCACCACCACCACCACCACCTCTTTTCCCCCCCGTTCTATTCTCAGACTCCTTTCCTATTTTCTGGGATAGGGAGGGGATGAGGGAGGTGGTGGTGGTGTACATTTCTGGGCCCCTGAATTATGGATACCCTTCGGCGCGCAACAGCATCCGGTCCTGGCAAGATCCCGAGTAGATAGGGACCAAGGATCGCGCTGCATCGCCAATCCATCGCCGATTTATCGGCGATGCATCGGCGACGTCGGCGTGGGGAAAGACGGGCTCCACATCGAGCCGCATCGTCGATGCATCGGCGATGCGGCGCAATTCTCCGACCCCGTCTTCTACGACCCCCCCTCTAGGAGGCCCAGATAATGGGAAAGATTCAACCTGTTCGGGCGCGATGGGGTTCGAAATAGGGCGAGGGCGGTAGGTGTGATCGCGCTCCCCAGAGCCCCGACGTAATGATTTGTTCATGGCATCGACCCCCAGAGGTCTGGACCCATTCCCCGAGACCAGTTTTTCATCTTGAGTCGTTTTGTTGACGATCCCGAGGCCTGGTAAGGGCCCCTGGAAGCCGAAAATAGCGAAAACCTCCCGTCGTGACTGTTTCATGACTCGAGGGGGGTCTGGGCCCGCATCAAACTGCACCATCGCACGGGAGACCAGCACGGGAGGCCACACGGGAAACCATACAGGAGACGCGCGACTGACATATCACGAGAGCCACGACCAGAGACCGCGGCCAGGGACCTCGAGCCTCGACCAAGGACCACGGCCACACAGCAGGGGCTCGACCACAAGGAACCTTCCACAAACAACCCAACCCTGGAATCCCAGGAAGTCCATTTATGATTTTTGGCATGGGCACGTCACGCTTGCCATGGCAACACCATCGGAACCCTAGAAAACCCGGGCACCCTAGAGGCAAGCGAAGGCTTCTTGGCATGGGCTTCCACTGCCGACCACGATCCACCGAAATCGGATCGCGCAGACCACCCCGCAGCCTCAGAAGCCGCATCCAGGACCGTCGTGTAAACGTTCTCTTATGCGGCGTTTCGGTATTGAGCGGAAGGGGGGGGAGGGAGGGTGGGGTCTGGCTCCGGACCCCTGCTTAGTGCGACGTTTTGCGGCAGCGCGTCCATTATGGGGGAGACTCCACCTGATTGACACAGGCGCCAAAAACAGACAAGATCTACACGATAGGGGGAGGAGGAGGAGGAGGAGGAGGAGGAGGAGGAGGAGGAGGAGGAGGAGGAGGAGGAGGGGAAAGGGGAGGAGGAGGAGGAGGAGGAGGCGGAGGAGGGGGAGGATGGGGAGGAGGGGGGGTGCGAGGGCCCGCGCTGATCGGCAAAACAACAGATAAGAGAACGCGCACCATGGGCAAGCTGCCCAGGGAACAGCTCGGAGGTCCGGGCAGATCCCTCCCCCCATGCGCCGCCCCTGGGGCTGCCAGGGGAGGTCCAGCGCCAACCCAAGAAATAGGCGCGCGCGCGTACCCTTAGGTCGGGCATGTCCCTACAGGCGGATCTTGGACGAACATTTAAAAACTCCAAGAATATCCAAACCTATTCAAACAATAGTAGGCACCTCGTCCCCAGACTATTTTTTGACTACTTTTGGATGTTCCTCCTGTAGAGGAACATGCCCGACTTACGCGTACCTCCGAAAGGTAGAAGGATAAGAGGGGCTATGGGAGGAACGGAGCGGTGGGAGGTGGGAGGGACAGGTGGTGCAGGACTAGGCGAACGAAAAATGACACAAACATTAAACCTTCGAAGGTCCGCGCCCGCTCTGGACCCCCCTCCCTGGCGCGCGGAGCGCGCCAGGGGCGGCGCCGGAAGCGTCGCCAGGGTGGTCCAGCGCGGATCCGAGAAATCCGCGCGGACCTCCGAGTTCTTATGTTTACGTCATTGCTCGTTCCCCTAAGGATGCTGCTATAGGGCGAGAACTCGCGGCGGGAGCGGGGGGTGACACCAAACAAGTACCGATCCTGCTACTCCACGGACCTCTCCCGAGGTGCGTTCTGACTAGAATTTCGAGGAGAATCCAGCCGTGGGGGCGAGGGCCTCACAGGAGGCCCAAAAAGGCCCGAATGAGGAAAGGGGCCACGACATCCAGCCGCCCCAACTTTCTCGATGCGTGGGCAACGGAGGTCTGGACCACTTCCCTTGGGCCGGTGTCTCGTCCTGGGTCGTTTTTGACTGTCCCGAGGCCTGGTGGGAGCCCCCGGAGGCCGAGAACGGCCAAAACCCGCCGCTCCGATTTGTTCGGAACGTCGGATCTCTGGAGGTATCGGTACCGTTTCTGCCTTGGGGGGGGGGGGGGAGGCGGCCCCTGTCGCTGACGCGCCGCCCGGGGAGGGCCTCGTTTTCCTGCCGCCTCGCGCTTCGACGCCCGCGTCTACCGGCTCCGCGTGCTTCAGCTGGGCGTCCGAGGCCAGCAGCCGTATCGCGCAGTTGCCCTCGAGGGTCTCGAAGGTGCCCAGCTCGGTGTCGAAGAAGAAGCCGACCTGCAGGATCTCGTGGCAGCGCTCCATCCAGATCCTGCACCCCGCGTCCCTCACGGCCTTGCAGAGGTCGCGGTAGCTCGTGTTCGAGACGAAGCGGCAGTTGTAGCTCCGCGCGTGCTGCGCCACGCCGGCGAAGGCCTGCGGCACGAACTCCACCCGCTGGCACATGGCCAGGATGTCGTCGGGCACAGGGGGCACCACGTCGGTGCCGGCGCCGGCCTCCCAGGCGGACCTCATGATGATCCCGGTGATGGTCGGGGCGACGACGGGGGCGAATAGCCCAGGGGAGAGCAACATAGGACGCACAGAGACATACTAGTACTATCTGCCCTCCTTGGAGGCGCGCGTCCGAACCGAACATCTAGTATACCCATCTTGTAGTATATCGTTTCCCGAGCGGTGTGGCCAGAAAGCGCCCGCCACGACGCATATACTATAAGATTTCTCGGTGCGCGCGTCGCCCCTGGGGGGGCGACGCACATATAGTATATCTGTGTTGGGGTGACGCCACGGCTACACGCGAGAGTGACCCAAATTAGGCAAGAGTGACCTTTGAAGCGCGGCGTTAGGGGGGGCCACGGGGAGGCCTAACCTAAGCGCGCAAGACGCCACCATCGCAGCGTGATCGGCGGTCGGGGGCACTCCATGGGCCCACACCAGAGGTCACTCTGACGAAGGGTCACTCTTACATGCAGTCGGTCTATCCAGGGGCGCCGGTGATCCATGTCTTCGGCGAGGCTCCCAGGCGAATACGTGTAATGCCCGCCCCTGGTCTAAGCTGCCCCGATACGCAATACGCAACACGTAGCGCAATGATACGGAGGTCAACACGTAACCCGAAAACGCAGGTCTGACGCGATACGTTCGCCAAAACGTGGGTCAATACGGTGAGCCAACAGGCAACGTATTGACGCGGACGTTTTGAGCACAGCACGTTCGGTGGCAACTCATGGTAGCCTCCCGTACCATCTTGTCGGCTCTTGCAAATCGACGCGGAGCGCGACCAGGGCGGCGCCGGAGTCGCCGCCAGGGGGCCCCAGCGCGGATCCGAGAAATCCGCGCGGACCTCCGAGTTGTTGTGCTTATGTGATTTCTCGTTCCCCTATAAAGTCGGGGTGGATTGGAGAGGACACGCGAGAGGACACAGGACCCTTCCGATGGCCATATTGCCAGTGGAACGTAGAGGGCATGGGTCGCGAAAACACGGGACACAAGGGTACCCTTGCTCGGGCAGGGTCGACCTATAGGTCGACCTACTATTCAAACTCGACTGCAGTGTCAAAACGGGCGCCTCGAGACAGCCAAGGGCGCCGATGCTCCCTCTCTTTGGCGAGGCTCCCGGAGCGCGTACGCGCCGTGCCCCGCCCCCCGGGGCTGCGCTCAGGTCGGGCCTGTCCCCCTCCAGGGGGAGCTCGGGCGAAACATCAAAGATGGTCAGCAATGCCCCCAAAATGCTCAAAGATGGTCCAGAAATCGCCCCCAGGCTATCTTTTCACTGTCTCTGAAGTTCCTCCTGTCGAGCCACGGGCCCGACGCAAGACTGCGCTCGCCCTCCTCGCCGCCCCCGCGCTGGAGAGGCCCCGCTCCTCGACCAGGTGCCTGCAGCACCGGCGCACGCCCTCGTAGTCGAAGAGGCCGCCTGCCCCCGACTCGGCGCCCCTGCCCAGCACGTCCCTGCCGAACGCCTTGCAGGGGCCCCAGGGACACGCAACACGAAAAACAATTACGCTACCGAGGAACCCCACATACTTAACTGAAATCTTGTGCGAGTGTGTGGGTGAGGAGGCGGTAGGTGTGTGAGACGCGGGTGCGGCGCGGCAGGGAAGAAAACCAGAACCCCACGACGAAGCATGTGGGGAAAATCCCTGCCGAACGCCTTGCAGGGGCCCCAGGGACACGCAACACGAAAAGGAAGAATACGCAGCAGTCCCCAGGGTTCACCACGTCGTTCTCTCCTCTCTTAGTGATGGACGCCTGCCCCCCCCCCCATTATCCCATGGTTCCCCTCGGGAGCGACGACTCCTTGCGTCTGTGTGTTGTTCCCCCTCCCACAGCCTTGCCGACCGCGGTGAAGTCGACCACCACGTGGCCGAGGTCCCACGGCCGGCCCTCGTTGTCCTGCGTGGCCGTGGGGCCGAGGTGGCAGGCCGGAGCCTCGCGACTCTGCTGCAGGCCCTCGGAGCTCCGTGAGGCAGCTGCCTTCGCCCTCTCGTCCTGGTGCCCCGCCTCGCGGGCCTCGAGGTCGCGGAGCACGGCCGCCATGCCTCTCTCCTCGGGCTCGAAGTCCCGGAGCACGGCCGCCATGCCCCTCTCCTCCGCCACGGCGCCCGCTGGGACGCCAGCCTCGCTGCGCCTCCGCGTCAGGCGCCTCCGGCCGTTCGGGCAGGGCCGCGCCTGCGGGCAGGCGGCAGCGGGGCCCCTCTGACACTCGGCGCTGTGCTTCAGTCTCAGCCGCGGCTTGAATCTCGAGCGCGGGCCCGGGAGGAGCGTGACGCGGCGTCGCAGGGGGGCAGCTCCGCCAGACGGCCCCTGGTCCTGCAGTCTCTTCCTGGACTTGCCGCCCGCTTGTTTTGCACTGGCTATTAGCGCGTCCAGGCTTTCGTCCCAGAGCGCTCCAGTCTCACCTCCTCCATCACCGCCTCCTTCAGTGATGCCCACGTCAGCGGGCGTCTGCTGGTGGAGCACACCGTTCCCCAGCTCGACTTCTCGGTACTTCGCTGGCACTGGAGGCTCAGCCGGCTGCCGCACGCGCTTCAATCGCGCATATGCCTGATGCACCTCGCCCACCGGCTTGCACGGAGCAGACGGCGCGGGCGGCGTGAGACTGCGGCTCTGTCCACGTGATGCCGCCTCCTTGGCGACAGGGCGAGCGGGCATGCGCTTCGGCCTCGGCGCCGTCGCGCACGTGGGCGGCTCCGCCGCTGCCGCGGCCGCGGCCGGCAGTGCCCCCGACCCGCTCGCGCCGCCGCCCACCGCCGCTGCCGGCGCTGGCGCGCCGCCCGCCGCCGTGGCCAGGCCTCCACGCCGAGCCTCCGCGCCGGCCGGGCTCCGTGCGGCCGCGCTCCGCGCGGCCGCTGCCTCGGCGCCGGGCCGCGAGGGGCCAGCAGCGGGAGCCGAGGGCCCGGGCCTGCGCCGCCCCGCGGCGGCTGCCTCGGCCTGGGCCCTGGAGGCCCGGATGTCCGCCAGCACCTCGGCCACGGTGCGCCCGCCGAAGAAGCCTCCGCAGCCGGGCTCCCAGCTCTCCGGAGGCTGCGGGGCCGGGGCGCCGCGGGGCTCGCGGCCCGCAGCCCGCGGTGCCGCCGCCGGCGTCGAGGAGTCGCCGCCGCCTCCGCGCGGCCGCGCCAGCCCCGCCGGCGCCCCGGCGGCGAAGCGGGCGGCGCGCTTCCCCTTGCGCTCGGCCTCGTCGGCGTCTGCCTCTGGAGGCTGCTGGGCTGAAGGGCCGCGGGGCGGGAGGCCCGGAGGCTGCGGGGCCGGCGCTGGCGTCGAGGGGCCACCACCGCCCTCGCCGGCGGCGCCTTCGTCGGCCGCGCGGCGGAGAGGCCGTGGTGCCTTCTTGGGCTTCGGTGCGCGCTCTTCACGGAGAGGCGGCGAGGAGGGCGCCGCGGCGGGATCTGAGGCCACATCCCTGCGCCCCTCGGCCTCCTTCGGGGCCACCGCCGAGGCCGCCTCGGGGTGCACGGAGCTGCTGCCGTTGACGTCAAGATCGCACTCTTTGTCCGAGTCGCCCCAGTCGACCGAGTCTTCGTCACCCATCGCGGTACTGAGGGAGAACGATGGGGGAGGACCAGCTCAGGCGGGAAAAATCGAACTGGAATCGGCGATGCATCGCCAGTAGATCGGCGATAGGCCCCGATAGCAAATCCGCTCTTCCCTGGGCGGTGTGGGCCATCGGGCCCCCTTACCGTCGATGACTAGGCAACCCCCTGAGCCGACAACCACTGTGCTACCAATAAGAAACGCTGAGTACGGAACGCTGAGTGCGGAACGAACGCGAGTACCACGGCGAGCCTCGTCCACGAATAGGTTCCACGACCTGAAAAAAAAAGAACATGTGTTTGGCCCGAAAACCAGAGCCCCTCCTGAGCCGCAAGTGGTCCGTAAAGCCGAAATTATGATCAAGATAATGATCATTGAAGTAATCTGGGCCAGCTTCCCAGAAGTTTCTTAATACAAGCCTTGACGCTGGAGAGGCCAACGTGCTCCAGAAACTGGGCCAGCGTTCCGACAAGGTATTCGAAAAACGCCAGCCCAGCTTTTTGTCCGCCAGAAGTTCAGTTTAGTTTGACACCACAGACCCCCGACGTCACGATTGCTTCACAACTTCGACCCCCAGAGGTCTAGACTCCTTCTCCGGGACTGTTTTTTCATCCTGAGTCGTTGTTTGACGGTCCCGGGGCCCGGTAAGGGCCCCCGGAGGCTGAACATAGCCGAAAATTATCCCGGCAAAGCAACCTAACAGCGATGTGTAGAAGCATATCTGAAAGCATTCCCCTTAAGATTCAGATGAAAATCCAGTTGTCGAATTCTGCTGTTCTCGCAGACGTAGTCGCATTCGCGATGACAGTCGCAGCGGCAACGGCAGTCGCAGTCACAGCCTCAGCCTCAGCCTGCCTCAGCCTCAGCCTCAGCCTGCCTCAGCCTCAGCCTGCCTCAGCCTCAGCCTCAGCCTGCTTCAGCCTCAGCCTCAGTCTGCCTTCAGCCTCGGCCTCAGCCTCAGCCTGCCTCAGCCTCAGCCTGCATCAGCCTCAGCCTCAGCCTCAGCCTGCCTCAGCATCAGCCTGCCTCAGCCTCAGCCTCAGCCTGCCTCAGCCTCAGCCTCAGCTGCTTCAGCCTCAGCCTCAGTCTGCCTTCAGCCTCGGCCTCAGCCTCAGCCTGCCTCAGCCTCAGCCTGCCTCAGCCTCAGCATCAGCCTGCCTCAGCATTCAAAATGTGGCCCGGAATGGAGTTCTGGGAACTCGAAGAACACGAAGTGGCCTACAGTTGGCTCCGGGCATTCAAAATCATGCCCAGGAATGGAGTTCTGGGAACTTGAAGACACGAAGTGGCCTACAGTTGGCTCCGGGCATCCAAAATGTGGCCCGGGAATGGAGTTCTGGGAAATCGAAGAGCACGAAGTGGCCTACAGTTGGCTCCGGGCATCCAAAATGTGGCCCGGGAATGGAGTTCTGGGAAGTCGAAGAGCACGAAGTGGCCTACAGTTGGCTCCGGGCATCCAAAATGTGGCCCGGGAATGGAGTTCTGGGAGCACCAAGAGCGATTTTGCGAGGACGTCCCAAGCGATTTCGGCTTCGGCGGCAGCCGCGGCGGCAGCCTGTCCGGGTCCCGCCCCGACCCCCCTGTGGAGTCATCTGCTGCTCTCTTTTGAGACCACTAGAAACCTATCAGCAAAAGCTGTTAGGTAAAAAACTCGCTCACAGCGAGAAAGTGTCTGGGTCTCTCCCCCCCCCCAGCGTTGCCCCCGCGCGGTGCTGTTCCCCGGGGCGCCGCCGCCGGAGCCCGCGGCGCCGAAGAGCCCCCCACTGGCGAGAGCCTCGGCGGCGCGAGAGGGCCCCCTGCGCGGCGGCGGGCCGCGGCGGCGCCGCCGCGCCGCCGGGGCTTGAGCCAGGATGGCTGCGGGAGGGCTCCTGCTCCTCCTCCACCCGCTCCTCCTCCTCTCCTCTCCTCCTCCTCCTCCTCCTCCTCCTCTCCTCCTCCTCCTCCTCCTCCTCCTCCTCCTCCCTCCTCCTCCTCCCCTTCTTCTTCCTCCTCCTCCTCCTCCTCCCTCCTCCTCCGCCCTCCTCCCCTCCTCTCCTCCTCCTCCTCCTCCTCATCATCATCATCATCATCATCATCATCATCAGCAGCAGCAGCAGCATCATCATCAGCATCAGACTCATCATCATCATCATCATCATCATCATCATCATCATCATCATCATCATCATCATCATCATCATCATTCGCCTCCTTCTCCTCCTCCTTCTCCTCTTCCTCCTCCTCCTCCTCCTCCTCCTCCATTCCTTTTCCTCATAAATAACTTTCCCTGTCGCACCCCGAGGCCAGTTTTTGGGGCGGTGCGGGCGTTTCGCCTGAGACTTCCTCACCACTTATGACCCTGGAGCTGAAAATTCGGCCACAGCTTCACAGATGGAGGGTGGGTGGTTTTCAAAATGTGGCTCTCGCCTTCGCGCCGCGCACACTCGTTTCAGATCTTTGCAGCAAGAGTTTCACGGATTGAGGGCAGGTGATTTTCAAAATGTGGCTCTCACCTTCGCGCCGCGCACATCCGCTTTGGAAATTGCAAGAGTTTCACGGATCGAGGGCGGGTGGTTTTCAAAATGTGGCTCTCGCCTTAACGCTGCGCGCATTCATCTCAAATGTGCAAGCTGCAAGAATGTCACGGATCCTCATGACCGACGTATCAAAAATTGTGTTTTTGGAAGGACTCAGGATTATGAGGGTATACCAGTTACGTTGATTCGTGGCGTTGAAATCCCAGGAATGGTGTTCTGGCGCGACTAAGATCGTCAAGACGCAACAGTCAGGTTGATCGGTGGCGGTGGAACCCCGAGAACAATGCTATGGCATGCTTCAGGCTCTTCAAGCGGTTGTCTTCCAACGAAGCAGTTCCGTGGAGATGAACCGTACGGGCCTATGAAGAGGGTTGCAACATCGTTGATGAATCTTGGATTTCCACTGGTCCTTCTCCTCCTCCTCCTCCTCCTCTCATCCTCCTCCTCCTCCTCCTCCTCCTCCTCCTCCTCCTCCTCCTCCGCCTCCTTCTTCTTCTCCTCGATCGGAAGGCTTCTCGGAAGGAGGTTGCTTCTCGGAAGGCGCCGGCCCCACATCTGCACACGAGGCCGGCGCCTCCCAAGACGCTGGGGTGCCTCTCAGAAGCCTCCCCCCCCCCTCACCCCCCCCTGATTACTGTACCCCCCCCCCTCTCTGCGCGTATGGCCGAAGGCTGGCCTGCGGCAGCGGGGGAGGGGTGCACTGATGGGCGGCGCGCTCCTCGTTGCAGCTTCGCGCCCCGCGCCCCGCGCTGTGCGGATGCGCGCGGCGCGTTCGACGACCTCCGCGCCCTCCTCGGTCGCCCCTCCTCCTCCTCCTCGGTCGCCCCTCCTCCTCCTCCTCCTCCTCCTCCTCCTCCTCCTCCTCCTCCTCCTCCTCCTCCGCATATTCCTCCTCCTCCTCCTCCTCCTCCTCCTCCTCCTCCTCCTCCG